GCCCCCCCGGCCCGTAACCCCCCAGCAAACCCCCCTCCGCACCCGAGTGTCCCCCCCAGCCCGCAGCGCCCCATCCCCATGTCACAGCGTCCCCTTGGGCTGCCCAACGGCCCGCAGGGCAGGGCAGTGTCCCTGCCACTGCCAGCTCCTGCACCTACAGTCAACGCTGATTTGGAAGAGAGGGCTGGCTTTTATCAGAAGCTCAAAGATTCAATTAAACGCTCTTTTCTTTAAAAAAATACATCAGTGTGACACAGAAAAGCGATGAACAGCTTCCTTGGCAGACGGCTTGAGCTGGAAACAACTTTGAGATGTCAGCATTCACTGTTGTTATCACTCCTTTGCTTTACTGAACTTTAGTATCTGTTATCCATTACCTGCTTTCCGAGCCTCAGGTGCTATCTGGCTGGGCACGTGTTTTACAATACATTTAATCTTGTCTCTACAAAGAAACCACAGTCGTACCTGCTGAAACACACTTCTCAGTCGCTGAAGAAAGAAGAAGCGGGAAGGGAGGAGGGAAGAGGGGAGAGGGGAGAGGGGAGGAGAGGAGAGAAAAGAGATTTTCTTCTTGTTGGACTCTTTTTTCATCCTTTTCTGTGCTTTTTTCCATAACTATCTGGGCTATATACTTTTCCTTAAAAGATGCTGCACTTCTGAAATCTCTCCAAACCCTTGTCCCGCTCAGGTGGACCACGACAGTCGCCTCGAAACATCGGCCTCGTCCCCAGGGAAGGGGCCTGGGGAGTCCCCTGGGTTACCTCTGCAGCTGAGCATCCAATCTCCTCCAGGGTTTGCTTCCTTAATTATTTTTAATCTTGACTATTATCGTTGTTGTTATTATTATTACTAACAAGTACTTCAAACTCTCAGAGGACATGATAACACGCGCTAATTAGCCAGCCAGATGGCAGCTGCAAGGAGGGCAGCGCGGAGCCTGGCGTTCCCCGAGCTGCGGTGCGTGCCTGTGCCTGTGCCGTGCCAGCCAGCCCCCCTCCCCTCCTGCCCTCTCCTCCCTTTCCTCAGTCCCACAGACACAGGTTTCCCTGCTCGGACTGTCCAAATCACAAACGCCGGCAGCTGAAAAAAAGAACCGCTGGGATGGCCGGCACGCACCTCGCTGCAGGAGCTGCTCTGGCTGCGCTAGGCTGGCAGGGCTCTGCTCTGACCCCGTTCTCCCTCACCTTCATTCTTCCAGCCTCCCGCCACATCGATGGCTTTGCTCAGCGGGTCACTCTTCCCCTAACGCCGCGTCTAACCGGGAAGCAGCGCACGGCCGTCATGACAACCCCTCGGTCAGGCTGCAGCCCAGGGCACCGCCGCCTTCACAAGCAGCTGCGACGTCGTCCTTAGCCGGAGTCGTCCTTTCTGCACGGAGCGGGGAGAGAGACGGAGCTGCTTTGCCCGGTGAGGTCTCCCAAGAGCCGGTGGGACGCGAGCCTGAGTGACTAAGGGCGCGTCGGGAAGCAGAGCACCCACTCCTAGCGAGGTGGGAGCGTCCCCAGGCTGGTCGTGCTCGTTGTTTGCGACGGTGCCCCAGAGCAACCTTCTGAGCGCAGAGTGAGTGTGGGCAGCACTCCTGAAGCAGACGTGCGGAGCTCAGGCCAGCAGTAAACATGGCGCCTGCAATAAAAACTCGTCGCAGCTAGCGCAACAGCCAGGGTGGGAGCAGAGCTGCCCCCCTGCCCCTGCCTGTCTCCCCCCGAGCGCGCAGCCCGAGCGCGGTGCCCCAGCCCTGCCGCCCCATGCCTGGCTCTGCCCACAGCTTGGGAGACGCTTGCCCGCCATCCCCCCTTCATGTTTGCAGCTTGGGCTTTTCTCTCCTCCAGGCAGGGCACCGTCCACCACCCGCAGTGACAGCCCTGCGCAGGGCACCCACGCAGCGCGCCGGGGGCGGCGAGGACGGGCTTCCAGTCCAGTGGCTGAGGAAGGGTTTCTGGTGTGGCTACGCCGTGACTCCCAATGTTTCAGACCAGGGCCTAAGCTGAGGGGTGCGTGCCCCTCAGTGCAGGAATTTGGAAGCTGCCATGAATGTGCCGGAGCAGAGCCCTTCTTCTGAGAAATGTAAGTAGAAATACGGCCCAGCAAACCCGTAAAGCAGTCCAGAGCAGCCAGCTCTTGGACGAGGACACAGACACCGACGCAGCTCAGCCCGGCAAGCTCCCGGGAGACAGGGGAGAAGGGGGCCCAGCAGAGACCCGGGACTGTGCGAACCCCTCGGGCGCTTCTCACTGGCAGCTGGACTGTATCAGCCCAGGCCGCTGCCCGGTGACCCCTCCGTCACCAGCCTGTCTCAGCGAGGCATTAATGCTGGCCCTAACCTTTTTTTTTTCAGGAAATCCAGTGCCATCGCCTGCAGCTCGCTGCTTTCTCTCTCCAGCTTGGTTTTGTCCGCTCAGGAGAGCTCACAGGGTGAGCTCCGTACACACGCTGGCAGCGCGCTGACTGCTTTACTGCGGTCACAGACCTGCAGAAGTAACTTCTTGCCATGACGCAGAGCGTGCGCTCCCAGGGACAGGGAACGGCAGCGAGAGCAGCCGTCCATGCAGCAGCCAGTGTCTCGCAGGCTTTCCAGCAGGCGAAGCAAACGCCCATCAGCCACAACCACCTTTATTCCTTCAGCTTTCCCAGCGGGAGCGTTCCAAAGCATCGAAAGGATTTAAACCTGTCCGGCTGCTGCTGGGGCGTAATTAACGGCGGCACAGTCAGCCTCAGCTGCAGCTGACAAAGCCTTAGCAGCGGTCCCCTATTCACCGCGCTCCTGGACTATTTATAGCTCCACAGCAAGCCAGGGGGGAGAGGGAGCAGAATAGCAGGTGAGCTGCTTACCAGGAGGGACAACGTTTGCTTCCAGCGGCGCGGCGTTCCCTTTCATCACCGGGAATCGGTCGCTGCGGTCCCCTCCCGCTCACCTCCGCCCCCCCCAGCAGAC